GAGTGGAACTCATCACTATACGTCAACTTCATCGACTATGAGAAGGCGTTTGACAGCGTGGATAGGAGAACATTGTGGAAACTTCTTCGACACTATGGAGTTCCTGAAAAGGTTGCCAACATCATCCAAAACTCATACGATGGACTACAGTGCAAAGTGGTGCATGGAGGACAGCTGACAGATGAATTTCCAGTAAGGACCGTAGTCAGACAAGGCTGTCTACTCTCCCCATTCCTCTTCCTTCTAGTGATTGACTGGATTATGAAGAATTCGACATCTGAAGGGAAATACGGAATACAATGGACTTCTCAGAATCAATTAGATGATTTGGACTTCGCAGATGACCTAGCCCTCCTCTCTCATACACACGACCAAATGCAGATGAAGACAGCAAATGCAGCAGCAGCCTCCGCATCGATAGGTTTCCACATTCACAAAGGGAAAAGCAAGATTCTCAAATGCAACACGGAGAACACCAACCCAATCACTCTTGATGGCGAAACTCTGGAAGAGGTGGAAACATTCAAGTACCTGGGAAGCATCGTTGATAAACAAGTAGGATCGGATGCAGATGTAAAGGCGAGAATTGGCAAAGCAAGGGCAGCATTTCTACAATTGCAGAACATATGGAACTCAAAACAACTCTCAACCAATTTCAAGGTCGGAATCTTTAATACAAACGTCAAAACAGTCCTACTGTATGGAGCTGAAACGTGGAGAATTACTACAACCATCATCAGGAAGGTACAAGTATTTATAAATAGTTGTCTACGCAAAATACTCAACATCCATTGGCCGGATACTATCAGTAACAGCGTTTTATGGAAGGTGACAAACCAGCTTCCAGCTGAAGAGGAAATTAGGAAAAGACGTTGGAAGTGGATCGGACATACATTAAGGAAATCACCAATGTGCATTACAAGGCAATCCCTTACTTGGAATCCGGAAGGGAAGCGGAAAAGAGGAAGGTCAAAGAAGACAATACACCGGGAAATAGAAGCCGATATGAAAAGGCTGAATAGTAACTGGAAAAAACTGGAAAGGAAGGCTCAGGACAGAGTTGGATGGAGAATGCTGGTGAGCGGCCTATGCACCTCTACAAGGGGTAACAGGCGTAAGTAAGTAAGTAAGCTAAGAGAATAGAAGCATGTCACCATCTCCCTGATTTGCATGAGGAAGGAATTTGAAAAGACCTAGCATATTATATGCCAGTTGCATTACACTCAGTAATGTCAAAGATAATGGAAGAACCAGCCAGTGGAAAAACGACAGGAGAGTTGGATAAGGACTTCAACCATGAAGCTTATTATTGTTCCAGAAAACACTGGACTAATGAGTCCAATGTTCTCATAGTACCGTACGGCTATGCAACCGATTGGGACCAAAAGATGTAATTTTATGCAGTAATCCCAGGCTTCGCAAGAGCCTTTCACATGGTGCGCGCACACGTTTCGTAGAGAAGGTTACGAATTATATGAAATTCACATACCCACTTTTATCTTGGCTATGAAACTACCTGAAAAACTGGACGTTTCGTACTGAGACAAGTAGAGTACTAACGAGCTGGAAAGTTCCAACATCAGGAGTTTCACAAGTGACAGTCTAAGGTTTACTACTGTTCTTAATCCTTTTAAAAATCCTATCGCATAATATCAGCTCCGCGGTACTGATCTATGCAGGCGGTACAAAAATCTGGAGGTCCACGAAAAGCAAATAGAATTCACTTGAGCTTCAAAAGGACATTACAACAACAGGAAAATGGGCGGTAGATAAGGGATTGGAAATTAGCTTGTAGGAATATCATGTTATGAATGTTCTGTCTTGTTTGACACAAAGCACCTATACTCTTAGAAATCCGCTCAGTCCTGTCTCCTCAGAGCGCGACCTCGGAATTATAACCATGAAGAGCTAAGACGCCAGCTCAAACTTGTTGGGAGATGAACCTGAGGCAAACATAAATCCGCACTCTGTGAGAAGATGACTTGTCGCAGTCACCCCATAGTTGGTCCTCACACTGATTGAAATGTACGCTCACTTCAAAGTCAGCAATTTTGTGCCGCCTTTTTTTTGAAACAGATATAAATCTCTCCAATTCAAAGTACAGAGATGGAAAAACAAGTGGGTGATTGTTCAAAAACATTAACCTTACAAGGACTAATTCCAACACTCGAGATCATTCTCGTTGAGCTACAGAGTGATAGGAGATGATCTGATAACTGTATACATCATATTAAGTACGCCAAGCTACTTTAATATGGGCATGATATCAGACCATTATCACACTCTTTCAGGCAACCCTCAGGAGGATCGCACATTAGTGGGCGAGCACTTAACTATGCTCTCACATTTCCTTATTAAGAGTTGCTCCCATTTGAAATGCTTGGCAAACACCCACAGATCGTCATTTTACTCTTAGACCATCTGTGTCTGATGCATTTCGCACAAGCTACCTAGGTTTTCATTGCCACATACCAGTAACTACTTCCTATGCCTTTAGTTGTCATAACATTTTCCTCTCGCATTCTCTCAATGAGGTCAAATTGTCGATCAATCGTCTCAGATTTGATTGTCTCTTCATTTCCACAACAATCATTCTCTGTTCTCGTTCTCTTTTCTTTGATCATTTTAACCTTCTGCCTCCAGACATTTCACTTTCGATAGATAATAAATACTACTTATATCTCTATACATCAGTAGCACACACCAATAGTACGTTATTATAACATTGATAAGTGTTACCGTGTTAAATCTATCAAAAATTCAACCACTGAGAAACCTACAAAAATCAGTGCATTCAGATATTGTTTTGAAAAGTTTTTAGCTTGAAAATATAAATTTTTATTTACCGTTCTCTTCTTCTGTTTCCTTGTTAAGTTAAATTAGTTATTAAGGAAGAAGAGTTGTGTTGAACCCGGAAAAATAAGAGAAATTGCATTGGACAAATAATATTGTTAGAATAGTAGTATAGTAGTGAGGTTAGACGCAAGGTATTAGGGAATGATGTTAAATCATTTGATGAGGTCATGAATCTTCATCAACTGAGATGGTTGAGCCACGTTTTGCGTATGCCTGAACACCAATTACCACGACGCGCTATGCTGACTAGTGTAGGGGATGGTTAGAAGAGAGTTAGTAGGGGCCAAACCAAAACGTGGCATCAGTCCTTGAAGTCACTAACTTCTACTAGTCGTTAACTTCTGGTGTGAGCCATGTTGGTAGATGCAGACTACTTGGTTGGGGTCAGCATGACTATCGTAACCAATGGTTGGAGACTCTAGGTGACATGACTCAGAATCGATCATAATGGCGTAGATGAATACACTCTTTATCTTCCCTTAAACATTAAGATTAAAATTGCTTCATATCTGTCTTTCTTCCTCTACTATATCTTTATATTCAACCTTTCTTTTATATATTAGCATAACTAAATTAACTACTTCTATGAATTCGGTGTTCATCTTGTTGTGCTAACGAGGTATGGCAACTTGGACCGGTACATATGTATGTCTGGTCCTATGTTGTATATATATTGGTTATTGCAGATAGAAGTTGAGTGAACTAATCGGTGTGAGTGTTCAAAATATATTTATTCCAAATGCGTTCTCTTATTTGACTTATTTAACTCCGTTATTCATCAACAAGGATTAAGTCATGTATTACATACAAGGATAGACAGGATGTATATTTTGACAACAATTATTCATACGATCACATAGGAGTCAGATTTAGGCCAGAAAGCTACAACTACATGAGAAAATACCAGCGATCAAAGCGAAAGTAATGCACATTGGAGATGGAGGGTGAACCAACTCGCTTTTATCAAACGTTTATCAATATTTACTGTCAGATAACAAATTATTATTATTAATAAGATAGAGACATGTGATGAATAAGATAAAAAGTGTACACACCTATAAGCTCGTATAAAAAATAGTTAGGGTTATTAAGTGAATAATTAACAAGGTGAAAACATAACTCATGATGGATAAGTAAATTGACTTGTTCATAAGCTAGAATAAGCGTATATGAGCTTAACATATCAACCGACATTATATACTTTCAGATTCCCGTTTACCATTCTATATGAGTATTACTTACTAACCTCTAATATCATACAAACCTTACATATAAGGAATCTAATATGCTAATTATTTATAACATTCATTTGAGATTTATAATAAATATTCTCAAAACACACGCATAGTGATTAAATCCCCCACCCCTCCAAAAAAAAGAAAAAAAAGAAATGCACAGAAACCAAATATGAAAATGTAAAGTTTAAGATTTCCATAACATGTTCGTTGAAATGTTTATTGAATGTTAAAACTATAATGATAAATGGTTTAGATAAATTACTGATGATAAAATCACATAAACAAGCATATATAAAATTACAATTCATAGTCACCATAGTAACAACAACAACAACAATAAAATGCATTTTAACACAAATAGATATAATAATAATATAAAAACAGATTTATTTCCATAGAATAAGATGGATATTATCAAGAATAGCTGTTTTTTTTAATCAAAATTTTGTTCTTTTAGAGGAATTAAAATAGAATTGAATCTTGTAATTTAATATAATGATGTTGAATACTACTGATTAATTGATTGTAAGTAGTTGAAACATTCTGATATATATATATATATATATATATATATATATATATATATAGAGAGAGAGAGAGAGAGCTGAATTATGATTGGTTAAGATCACATGTCTGTCTTTGTGCATAAATATTGATTAGTCTATCAATCAATATATATATTCTTATGAAGGGGAGCATATACACATGTATAATATAGATGTACTCACATAAATGTAATTAATAACACGTGTATTAATAATAATATCAGCCTAAAAGTAAAAAAAGGGATAAAAATAATTTGGCAAGAATGTATATTGAAGATGACTTGACAACTAATGTGTTTCATTTAATTAGTGACTTATGTATTAACTCATTTCTTTTTATAGAGTTGAGATCATGAGTCAATTGAAGCTAGACCACCATAGAAAACCTGGAAGCAGTGGACGGCCGTTTCATCTTATTGTAGGACTGCTCAGTGGCAGTGAGCATCCACGATTTCGCCCTACAAGATTCGAACCCATGACCTATCTGTCTCGCGTGCGAGCGCTTAACCATTAGACCAGTGAGCCGGTCGACATCCAACGGTGTTAATATCTGACTTCATTCAGTCTACGAAATTAAGCTACCGTTCCGGGTTCGGATCTCGTTAGGCGGGATCATGGATTTGCACTGCTGAGGAGTCACAAAATAGGACGAAACGGCCGTCTAGTGTTTCCAGGTTTCCCATAGGTGGTTTAGCTTCAATTGACTCATGATTTCAACTATGAAAAATACTATACTCTTATTGTATAATTGTTACGTAACTGGATTACTATGTTTATATTTTCTGTTTACCTTAAGCTTCTGTCTAATCTACCTACTTTTATTATATCACTTATTATTCTTATTTTACTGCCAATTTATCACCTTCAGCTTCCTTTATTTACATTCACCTTAGACTCGTTTATGAATAATGTTATTTTTCGTTTCATGATGCAATGCAGTCCAGTGTGTTTGGATATAAACCTTCCTATGTTCAAAATATAGTAATTAAAGAAGCTGGTTGCTAACTTTCCAAACTCATGTTAGGGCATTGAGAAAGACTTGAGAATAGCGAACTAATAGGAACTTAGCTTCATCGACTCAAGGTCAGCTATGCTAGTCAGGTATATGATCGTTCATGTTTGAGACGATAGGTTAAAGAAGAAATAGTATGCATTTCATAGACAGGATCAGAATTAGAGTTCTGAATAGTGAATAGGACATGATACTGATTAGCAGATCCGTAATATAACCATATATATACAATCACAAGAAAGGGTGTGAATCATCTCATTATGGACACTCAGGAATGAATTTTTGATCAGTCTTTGTTTATATATATGTATACTGTATAATATAAGATAATTCAAACGCTTACTGAACAGAGTGCCGTGTATCTGTATTCAGTAGTTTTGCTGATAACTTGTCGGTGTTTGAAGTAAAACGGTACTGGCTCCGAGTTCTAATGTGAACATTAACAATTAGATTCAGGTTCATCCATCTGATGAGCCTTAAATAGAACTTGAAAAGTATTATGAATTTCAATATTAACCACAATTCAGCTATTCGAAAAAAAGAATCTACATCTTTGTTGAAGCTAAGTACTAATATATTAATAAAGGAGTTATACTTATTGTTATTATTAGTGAAGTGATGTTTCTAACATCCTGTTACAGTTCAGTAACTGTACTAATGAGTAAATATTCTACACTAAGAATACTAGTTGCTCAGTAGCTTCAAAGTGACGATATTTTAGTCTTGAGTCAGTTCCATTAGAATACTGAAACAATCAAATATTTTCTTTTATATCTCATTAAATTTTATTTACAATGGATAGTCTAAAAGATGGTCATGATTGTGAGAATACTTTGAAGAATAAGGTTCATGAATGTTTTCTATTCAAATAGATTGTACAGACCTTGACGATCGCTTTGTTCGTTGACGGTTGAATTATTGAACTCACTTTCGTTTATCCAAGATCTAGAATGTTCCTGATGTGTATCTAATTGAAAAAAAATTTAAAAAATAAATTAAAAAAAGCTCATTGAATAAAAAGTTGAAGAAAAACTAAACTGTTAATATTTACACTGGATGGAACAATTTGATTTGAGTGACTGAGACATGTGTGTATGTGCGTACAACACTAATTGAGATGAAGTAGGAAAAAGCACTTAGACTATTGAAACAGTTTTGAACTAATGACGTTTACTCATAGTGTAGTGAACAGAACACGACTGGGGACAATCGAATGTATTTAAGTAAAGATTACAGACTATCTCAGTAAATTCTGATAACCAAACAATGAACAGTCAATTTGCAAATTAACAACCAATTGTTTCAATCTTCACTGTTTCTTCTCTTATTCCATTGCTCATGCATTTTCCAAACGATTGCGCTTCATTTCAGTTCTTCCTCATCGGTCTTCTGCCAAAATATACTCTATGTCTGACCCACACCATATACTACTTATATGGATATAAGTAGACCACACCACAATAGAACTTTAGCTCCTATAGATGAGAAAGAGATTTTCATGCGATATAAATTGTTTATGATGGTACTAAACACTCTAAGTCGTATGGTTTAATGCTAAAGCTTTCATTTTTGCTCTTGAGAACATTACCGGTGACCGTTTTCAAAAAGTACGGTAATAAAAAGCTTACTATAAAATCATTCATTTCAGGGAATATAACTCCACCTTTATGTATGTTAAGTCCTCCTTAGCGCTGATTGAACCCTAGCGATTATTTTGTAATGTGACTCAAGTCTAAGTAACTCGACAACATGTATACTGTGTTGGGATATTAGGTGGTGGTTGGAGGTAATCGACGGGAAATCCTGGACTTAGGTTTCATGCTCTTTGGCAATATTGTTAGACTAACATTCAAAAGTTAGCAAACATACCTAACTGCTGAATACATATACTTACAGCACATGTGAACACATATCCTGTTGAGAACTAACAAACTTAAATGGCTGTCTTTCACCATTTCATAACAAATTATCTATTAAAGTGTAGATTTTATTCAACACTGACTGATATTAATTGTAGAAACATTAAAAACTATGGAACATTTGATAGTTAGTTTGTTCTAGCATGCTCTAGAAATTTCCAATAAAATCTATGGTACATTTTTATCTCAGTTAAGAAGCTACCTTTTGGCTAATCAATTTGTTTACATTATTGTCAAGTTCATTTCAAGCATTATATTCACTCTATCAAAATGAACTTCTTCAATTAGTCAATCCGAATAAATCTTCTATACAAGATTTATTTTATTATTTATTTGATTACTGAACGAGAAAAAATAAGTTGGATGATGCAGGTACATCCAACTGACGAGTCCCGAATAGGAGGAAACACGCGTCTTGGATTCCATTATCCATCTTTACTTACAAAGTTAGATGATGATGGTTATGATAAAATGTAATGAATAAATAAGAATGACAAAATTTTGTAAATTATTTGTTTAAGAAACATTTTGTTTTGTAAAGATTTCATGGTCTAATTGTAGACTTTCATTTGATACATTAACTTTTCTATTTTAGAAAAAAAATGTTGTAAATTAATTATAAACAAGATGAGGGTTTGTGGAAATTGTAGTAATTTATGAAACGGTTTTATCTAAATCACCATGACAACCTGGAAGCACTGGTGATAATCATCATAAGCTCATTAATGACTGGCTTGAAGATGTGTTTCTTAAAGTCCTAGTGAGTAGCTGTGACCAGTGGAGTTGAACTGTATCTGTAGTGAGGTTGTTACTGACTGAAGATAATGGTGAACGGTGGCGCAATATCGTGGATTGGTTGAAGTTAGATATTAACATCGTTGGATGCTGGTCTGCTCAGTGGTCTACAAGTCAAGTGTTCACTAAAAAGACCAAAGTTTGTGGGTTCGAGTCTCGCGAAAGGGATCATGGATGCTCACTGCTGAAGAGTCTTATACTAGAATGGAACGGCCGTCTAGTGCTTTCAGGTTTCAAAACCCAGGAAAACATCATTATGTAATACTTTGAGTACGTTTAAAATGATAATATAAATTACTTTATAACATCATGAAGTAAAAGTGATGGTGTTAAACTTGTCAAATGCTTAGTATTGTCTTTATAGATTGTATCTAACAGATTGTAGATTGTATCTAATACTATTACTAAATCATAACGTCAAGCTAATTATCCTGAAACAAATTTAATTTTCTTGAGGTTATATTTTATAGATGAACTAATCAGATAACACTTGTTGGATTTTTGAACGAAATTCATCCATCCATATGGTTGTAGAGCATTTGCACACTATATCTGATGTCAATTCACGGAAGTCATGACCCAGAACACATAATTTTTACCATGAATTGGTAACCCCAACTAAGAAAAGAAAAGAGAATCTACTTTCGTCCGAGGTAATGAAAAATCTGCAGCTTTATAGATGTAGGTATTGGTCTGAATTTATATGTTAATACTTATTCAGAGTAATTTGCAAAGGATGTGATTATGTAACTTCTTGTCCCATTAATCATCTATTGAGAAAGGCTGTCTTCTGATTGGTTAAGGGATGACCCAAAATCAGTCTCGATTGATTTAATCTCATCTTTACTTTATGTATACTCTTGTTGTTATGACTAAGCTAATTGCCACAAAATTCAAGCTGAGAGACCCAGGTTATTTGTGTATTTTCATTTTGTTCTGGTTTTTAGGAAATAATAGTTGAAATAGAACTCAAGCATCGCATTTATTAGGCTATGAAAGGAAATGGAATTTGAGTAAATCACTTATGGATAAAAAGGAATACAGCAAAATCCTACTAAGACTTTCTTGTGGCGCTGTTGGAAGTTAGGGGCGACTCTGTCAGCCAACTTAGGCGGTCGTAGAGATTTTACTGATTACCCACTCTGTTGTATCCGATCAATACTGGATTCCATATTCCGGGCCCACTTAGTCGTTCAGGCTATCAAATGTGCATGCTTATGTGTGAGAATTGCAGAAGTTCCCGAACCTATGTTGTTCAAGAATGTAGGTATATGCAAAGGGTACGCATGCAGTATGGTACAAAGGAAACGTTGAGCTGCAAAAATGTCTGCCCTATGTCTAATAAAATTAGCGGCCTGTCCATCAGGCTGAGAACATAATAAAAAGAGGTGGTAGCATACACTAGAATGAGGCGACCAACAACCTCACCTGAGACCGTGAGTGTATCATGAAATACTAGGGTGGTAGCTGTGCGGATGGTCCACAGGTGAAGTCGAGGAGGCTCTAGGAAGCCCAGAAGGAGCCCAACATGTTCCATCCAATCAGCTTTTGGAAGAATATTCCAGAATTGCCACGTGGAGCTCCCCTATTGGACAATGCTGATTACTCCCTGTCTGCGGTTTGGATAGCTATAATGATGATTTTGTTTCTACTAAAAACTATAAATACCTGATAATTTTGTTCCATATCCGACACTGTCAGGAATAACATTCCTTCTACTTGTCTTCTGTCTTTTGATTTATGACTTGGAGGGTTCCAGCGTTCGACTGCTCAAGTATTGTTAGATAGACTAAGAATTCTAAGTTCGAGATACAACAGTAGCCATGGTGTGAATGACATGGATATAAAGTGTTAGAGTCAATCTGGTGTAGCAAATACGTTTAATTTGGAAGCAGTGAACATCTACCCTCTCAGGTGGGTGAATATACCTATGTGTAAGTTATGAGATGCATGGGGTAAAACCTGTGTTACCGATGTGCATGTAACGTGTATTTTCTCACAAGGTATGTATAGCTGCATGTATACCAAGTGATACTGGGATGAAAGTTCGTGTGTTACCTAGTATGCAAGTAGACTATATACATTCAGAGCAAGTAAATCGTAAACCTCTTTACTTATTCTTTTGGTGCGATACCATTATGCATGCAAAGACTAGTGAGGCCACGGTCTTCACTAAATTACATTTATGTGGTGGGTTAGTAAGCCTCGAAAAGACGGAATTAGTTTCAGAAGGACCTCTAGATCTCCCCAGTAAGCTTCACCAGCTATTCTCTGGCTAGAACGCCGTACCAGTCAGTCACAGTTCAGAAATCAATGTGTATATGTAGATATAAATAAGAAAATGTTTACGATAATTATTACTTGATATTAAAAAAAATCTTTCAACTAATCAATCATACTACTTATTGGATTAGGTGATTGTTAATTATAACGAATACTATTCATGATGTGTTGTGATCCTGCGAAGTTTTGAGTCCTTACAAACATAAGGATAAGTAGGCTGTCTTTTTTCATCTTCTAAATTGAAGTTTGGAGGATATAGTATAATTCTATGTAGGCTAAGTAATTTTAACACCAATAATAATTACTCTACACTTTGGACAATATTCATTAGAATGATTGAATAACACCCGGTTTTATCAAACATAGTAACGATAGTTTAGTTGTGTTTTTTTCTCTCGTTTAGTAACCATGGTGAATAGTGAGTTCGCAGCTGTTCTTTTTTTTGGACTTTTCATTACCAATTTCGTACAAATAAATTAAGGTTATCGTTATCTATTTAACTAATGACATTTCGATGGGAGAAATATTATATATATATATATATATATATATATATATATATATATATCCCCCTACTCTTGTTAAGTCAATAAATGGAGGAAAACAACCTGTTATGTATTTTAGGAGATAATATTCTGATATACTGATTACATATTTTAGTAAAGTTAATGGCTACAGAACACATTACGCCGGGAAATAGAAACAGATGTGAAATGGATGAATAACAACTGGAAAGAACTGGAAAGGATTTCCCATGATAGAGTTGGATGGAGAATGTTGGTGAGCGGCCTATGCTCCTCCACGACGTGGGGTAACATGCGTAAGTAAGTAATGGTGTGAAACGAATGTATGGAAATTCAGACCACTTTGATGTTCATAGTTTACTGCAAGAACTAATCCTTTTTTAAACAACCATTCAAAATTAAAAAGTACTAGAGAACTGTTACATGCTAGTATAAGATACCTTATCAGTATACGTCGACAATCTGAACAAGGATCGAGCATAAGACATTCACTCATTTGTTATTGTTTGTTTGAATCTTTTTATTGACGTTTAGGACTGCATTTGATCAGTCTCTTATTAGCATATGCATATACTGTGCGGACTTCTTCGATATGACATTAATTCATAAGTATTCTAAATAAAGATGGATGGCGGTTGACAGTGGAATCCAGGACGTGTGTTTCATCCGCTGGATGTACCTGTATCTCAGAGTTGATATTCAATACGGGACTCAAATCCCATACTGTTCGCTTCAAATGTCATCAAGTTATCCACTTAGCTACTGAATCTTGAACATCAATGTGAATGTTCAAACAAACAATACAAAATGAATTTAAACTTTACCTCATTGTACAAACAAGTGGCTATCGGGATTCAGTAGCTAAGTAGATAACGTGATGGCGTTTAAAGCGAACGGTATTGGCTTTCAGTTCTGGAGTGAATATGGAGTAAATATCAGCTCTGTGATTCAGGTACATCCAGCTGATGAGTCTGAAATTGGACGAAACACGCGTCCTGGATTCCACTGCTAACTGCCATCTATTTTTGTTCATTATAAGACCTTCATGTTTTATGGTGAGCAGTTAACATTTATACCAGTGATCAGGCTTTTGTATTTTAACAGTTTAGACGGAATTCTATCTTAATAAATGAAACCGTAATCAGATGATAATGTATGGCTTATGATTGAAAAGTATACCTGTAAAAGAATAATTTTTTGTAGAAAATATTCTTTCAGTCAACCATAATCTGCTGTTTATCGAATAAGACTTTATTAGTGCAAAAAGTTTTTGAAAATTTTTGGACTGTTATATAAAGCAACCTCTACAAACCCTTTACACTGATAATAATCAAGTGTTTATAAGTGACCAGATTTGAGGGATCTGAAATCTTGACTTGCGGAGTTAACGGGTGTCGAATGTGAGGCAGTTACTCACTAATCGGATTGGAAGATGATCAAGAAATATTGTAAGCTGGTTGAAGCTAGATAACTATTAAGTGTTAATTCTGATAATTGAATATCACAGGCTGGATTTCTGACAGTGGTATCGTGGATATGTACTGGTCAGAAACATTTACCCGGATGAAACAATTGGTTGAAGTTATATATTAACACCGTTGGATACCGGTCTGCTCAGTGGTCTATGGGTTGAGTGCTCTGGCGCGAGATTGGTAGTTCCTGGGTTCGAATCTCGCGAGGTGAGATCGTGGATGCGCACTGCTGAGGAGTCCGACAATAGGACGAAACAGCCGTCCAATGCTTCTAGGTTTTCGATGGTGGTCTAGCTTTAATTGATTCATGATCTTAACTCTATAAAATTACTAAAATCTCCACAAAATCCCTTCTGAAAATAAGACAATAAACTAGATTGTTGTATACTTACCATCTGGTCCTGCTCCATCTCGGTGTTTATATTCTTCCGTATTAAATGTATCTAGATTACGTAATTTACGTAAATCTTTTGAATTGCCTGGTTGAATTGGTGTAGACCATTTTACAGTTTCTGGCATTTTTTTTACAATCATACTATTATCAGTGAGTTGAGCATTATCATTCAACCGATCAGTAGTCCTATCACGTTTTTTTAAAGGATTTCTATAATAAATCAGATTTGGCCAAAATGGATTTAAATAGTCAATGTTTTCATCTGTAGGAGGCGTCGAAGAAGTAGATTCTTGTAGTTTATCAATACCTTCATCTATATACATCGGTAAACTAATTTTTGGATATAAAAATTCTTTACGATTAAAGTTAATTGAATCGGATGGTTGTTTATTTGAGTTAAATAAATACAAAAATTCATTATCATCGTTATAAACATCATCATGATCATCGTTATCCTCATCAATACGATGAATGTCATCTTGATATTGTTGTTGTGCATCTTTTTCTAGGTTCCAGCGATGACTATTCCATGCATGCCCTGAAAAATGTAGAGAAAAAGGGTTTTTACATAGCATTTTGTGTGAAATAGTTATGTACTGAGTTTTTCATCCACATTAGTTCTTTAGTTAAGGTGGTAGATATAAATCAATAGTATGATTGAATCTAGAAGTTTCAGGCCTCTTAAGTAGCTCTACAGCGGTTTTATTCTTTGTTTATTTAAAGTTATAGATCAGAGGGGGGCTTTGTGGAGAATTTAGTATTTTCACAGTTGAAATCATGAGTCAATTGAAGCTAGACCACCATCGAAAACCTGGAAGCATTTGACGGCCGTTTCGTCCTATTAAGGGGACTCATCAGCAGTGCGCATCCACGATCCCGTCTCGCGATCGAGATCCGAACCCAGGACCTACCAATCTCGCGCCAGAGCACTTAACCGATAAACCACTGAGTGAGTGTGGGATCGTGGATGCGCACTGTTGAGGATTCCTCTAAATAGGACAAAACGGCCGTCCAATGCTTGCAGGTTTTCGATGGTGATCTAGCTTCAATTGACTCATGATTTCAACTGTGAAAATACTAAATTCTCCACAAAACCCCCCTCTGATCTATAATCATTTGCTCACTAGTGACTGACTTCAAGAGATATTTCCTTGAGTTCTAGTGGGTAGCAGCGGCTAGTAGAGTTCTACCAGGTCTGTTGTAGAGATATCAGCTCATTAAAGACAATTGGTGAACGGTCGCTCAAAATCGTGGATTGGTTAAAGTTAGACATTAACACCGTTGGATTCCGGCTCAGTGGTCTATTTAAAGTTAGTCCATCATTCAAAACCTAAAATTCTGTAGTATTTCTCACTTCTTGCAATAAAAAACCATTTTCAGTTGGATCTTTATAGGGCTTCATTCTAATATTCAGTAATATGTATGTGTATATTTGAAAAATATTAAATCAATTAAGGAGATTCATGAGTCCATAATCCTTCACTATGTATAGAGTAAACCTTGGTCATTCTAGCTTACAGCCGTAGTCCTTAGATGTCGAGGAAGTTTGTAATACTTCTGTCTCTTACTTTGTCTGAGGATTAATTTCATCATTTGCTTATTTGTTTCTCTTTACCTCTTTTTCATATCCCCATCTTTTCTACTTATATAATATTTAACTAATTATTCACATACTGCTTATTACTCAACAGCTTTAACGATCATTGTCCCATTGTTAAGGTTATTTTTTGAGGTCGGAACTAGACTATAATGTTGGAATATTTATTCAAGCTCTTGCCACACATTTCACTATTAATAAGTTTTTATTTCTACTATCAAGAAGCATTCACTTCAGACGAAGATCTATCTGGAAACTATGTTGTTATTAACAAGGGTTGTTAAGATTCACACATTGGAAGTCATTCATTATGGAATAGATTTAACTAAAAATTCATTGAAAACAAGGGGACTTTTGAAATTTATTTCGTCTTGGTGTAGTACTGCACAGAAGACCTGAAATTCATGGATACGAAGTTTGGTTAGTTTATAATGTTGTGTTCTTCTGCTCCGTTTTATGTTATCTAGTGCTCCTTAGTTTTTAATTGTTGTCTAGCTACCCTAAGTCTATTTTATAAACCATAACATTCAATTATGTAAACGACCCCCTTCTTATGTTAATAATGTTTTTTTCCTTGTTAACTTACCTACAGCATGATATGAATAGTAAAATAATTAATTTTATACCCCCCCCCCGGTGTCATTGTCACCACCCAACTGAAATTTTCTATTCATTTACTTTCTATCATCAGTGTTAGTTTTATTCTCTCTTATTTATCTATCTGCATAACAGATTTGTATATTGAACAATTAATTATATTGTTAGTTATGTGTAGTGAATTGGATTCAATTATCCTCTTATTTAAATTATATTATAGGTAATCCATTAGTTTATACCTTTTGTTATATAATGTTGACTGGCTAAAAAGTATATCTACTCAGCGGTTAGATATTAACACCACTGGATGTCAGGTCAGTGGTCTAGAGGTTAAGCGTTCATGCTCGAGACTGAATGTCTTGGGTTCAGTTGCCGAGTAAAAGATTATGGATGAGCACTTCTGAGGAGTCTCATAATAGGACGAAATGGTCGTTCAGTACTTTCAGGTTTTCCATGGTGGTCTAGCTTTAATTGACTCAAGAATTCAAAAGAATGTATAATTGAGATGGATGGAACATTTAAAGCAGTTTTACGGCGGTTCACTTTATACAGACATTTATTTTCATTGCGTTTTATTTAAATATTTGATGTACAGTATTTTTATACAGCACCAAATTTAAGTTTTCATTTTACTCATCTGTAACTCAGTTTTGTACCGTGAACATACTGCTGAACAGACACTAATAATACGAATATGGTTCCATTTTGATAAGATCGACTGGAAGACTAATATATCATGATATCTCAGTGATAACAGTTCTAAGCAAGAAAAAATAAAGGATTCCAATCAGAAACCATGACTAATGGAGCTTAGCAATCTTAGGTGTGAAATTGTTACCCTAGTAGCACTGACAAATGGTTACACAACATCGTGAATCAATTGAAGTCAAACATGTTAACCAGTGGATCATGAATGAGTTGTCTGAAGATTAAGAATCCACCTTAGAAACTTGAAGGTAATTGACTTGATTGTTGGTGAAGTCGTGAACAAGCACTACTGATGATTCTTATACTAGAATGAAACTTATATAACAGGATAAGAAGACAAAATTGCATTTTTAACTTATTATGATTCTTGCTGAACATAACTACTGTTTTTTAATTCAATCTGATGATTATTCAGTATAGTATCTGTTTTGTTTTTTCAGTGTGATATTATATTCAGTGAAACATCAGTTTATATGAGTGTATTGTTATCTCAGGGGTCGCATCCCTACAATTGAAGAATATATACAACTCAAAACAACTGTAAACCAATATCAAAGTCGAAATCTTCAATGCAAACGTAAAGCCTACCACAACCATCAGCAAAGAAGTAAAAGTATTTCTAAACAATTGTCTACGTAAGATAGTGAATGTCCGTAGACCAATTACCATGAGCAACAACATACTGTGGGATAGAACAAACCAGATTCCGGTTGAAGAGGAAGTTAGGAAAAAGCGTTGGAAGTGGATAGGATACACACTGAGGAAATCATCAAACTGCATTAAGAGGCAAGTGCTAAGGAATCTTGAAAGAAAGCGGAAAAGAGGAAGGCCAAAAAACATACTGTGTCGGGAATCGGAAGCAGACATGAAAAGAATGAACAGAAACTGGAAAGGACTATAAAGGACTGTCCAGGACAGGGTTGAATGGAGAATGTTTGTGGGCAACCTAATCACCTCCACGAGGGGTAACAGGCATAAGTAAGTAATCTGAGGATATGATATCATTGCATAAAAATAACGTGAACTATGTTCAGCATGATAGACAATGTGTGATTTTCACATAGTATTCATTGTTTGAATCTTCTCATTGATGTTTAGGACTGCGCCTGGTCAGTCTCTTATTGGCATATGTGCATACTGTGAGCATTGCTTCGATATAGCCTTAATTCACAAGCATGGTAAGCAAAGATGGATGGTGGCTAGCAGTGGAATTCAGTTTGACGCGCGTTTTGTCCTATTTAGGACTCGTCAACTGGATGTATCTGCATCCCAGAGTTGATGTTCACCGTGGGACTCGAACCCAGTACCTTGGGAAGATTCAAACAAACAATACAAAGAGAAATTAAACTTCACCCCTGTTATATCCCCTGGTGAATCATGAATGGTAAATCTGAGGTCTATTATGGACAAAGGTAATATGCCTAATTCCTATTGTATAGTTGTTAAATAAGTGACCTAACTGTATTCGTGTTTCTCTTACCGTAACCTTATTTTGACCTTTGAACTATTATTATTGATTACTTTCCCCCTATCCATAGCCACATTGGCCAATTACTGTACAAATGTTATTTTTCTATTTTTTGGTATAATTGGGTCTGTTTGGTTAGTATATATAACCCAGTGTGCTTGTGAATAATGATTCATATTTCCGAGGCTGTTATTTGTGTTCTGGACTCAACTGGCTGGGCTAGGCAGTTAGGAAGGACCGAATAGCAATCAAGACTGCTCGTACGTATTTTCTGTATCATTGCACGTTTCATATACAATAACGATTGTTATACGTTTATAACAATTGGCGACGGGGACAAAAGTGAAAAATGACGCTCCCTTCTGACCGCTTACAGTTGCTATTTGACCGACATTTGGAGTTCATGGTCAAACTACGCACACAGCTTCTGGATCACCAATGCTTTGCATACGCGTCGGAAGTGGATGGATTAATCAATGAATTTCACACAGAACTGGAAAATGATCACAGCCTCCATGAATCCTCGACCAGCCGCAACTCAAACGAAACAGCAGTCTCTCAAGAGACGCCCGGTTGTCCAGCACTATCCATTTCAGAAACGTGCCCGGTAGTGGATTCAAACACCACTATCCCTGAATTAGCAGGTCCGAACAGTGATGCTCCCAGCTCTCAGCAACATGATGCCATGTCAAATGCTCATGAAATTGATGCAGTACCCGCCCACGAAGAAATGGGAAGCAAATCGAGCAGTATATTGAATACAGAGGCGCCAAATGAAATTATTCATGATACGAAAAATTTTTCTAATGAATCTAATGATCAAAATTATCTAATTGTTCTGCCAGATCCCGATTATTTCGCTGATTCATATGTTCCTGTTCAAATCTCTTATAAAAATGTGAGAAAAATATCGAATGTATTAAATGATAATCAAGAATCCAATACAACTCTCATAGATACTGATTATCCTAATGATTCATTATCTACTAATGAGGTTCCGAGGAAATTCAAGGAAACTATTTCAGAAGAATCAAATGTTGGTGACCTCGAATCAAATGTCATCGATCCTCATGATCTCGTCAGTTCTAATGCATGCCCTGTTAAATGTGACAAACATATCGCATTAATAGTAACTTGGCTATATGAGGATCCAACAGTCTTTCGTGGGGGAGGGTGGATTCGAGAAATTTAAAATCCGGATATCAACTCCGGATTTCTCAAAAAGGGGAGGTGTTATATCCCCTGGTGAATCATGAATGGTAAATCTGAGGTCTATTATGGACAAAGGTAATATGCCTAATTCCTATTGTATAGTTGTTAAATAAGTGACCTAACTGTATTCGTGTTTCTCTTACCGTAACCTTATTTTGACCTTTGAACTATTATTATTGATTACTTTCCCCCTATCCATAGCCACATTGGCCAATTACTGTACAAATGTTATTTTTCTATTTTTTGGTATAATTGGGTCTGTTTGGTTAGTATATATAACCCAGTGTGCTTGTGAATAATGATTCATATTTCCGAGGCTGTTATTTGTGTTCTGGACTCAACTGGCTGGGCTAGGCAGTTAGGAAGGACCGAATAGCAATCAAGACTGCTCGTACGTATTTTCTGTATCATTGCACGTTTCATATACAATAACGATTGTTATACGTTTATAACAACCCCATTGCACAAGCAAGTGGCTATCAGGACTCAATGGCCGAGTGGATAACGTGATGGCGTTTGAAGAGAAAGGTACTGAGTTTGAGTCTCAGAGTGAACATCAACATGTCTGAGATGCAGGTACATCCGGGTGACAAATTCCATATAGGACGAAACGCGCGTCCTGGAATCCAATGCTAGCCACTATCCATCTTTGCTTAACGTGTGATTTTGTTATAACTCTGGGTAATGTTATATATATATATGATTTTATTTTAATTAACAATCGAAATGGATGACTAATCAGTATATATTGAGTGTATTTTCGACTAGAGTCATTGTCGAGTTTTGAGTTTAGTAGATCATCACTTATGACAGTCTTGCTGTTCGTACTTTGCATCGTGAGAATTGAAGTGGTCCCTTGTTCTTCCAGCGATGCTGATAAAACAATCAGTGACGAAGATGGAATAGTATACTACTTCTTGATTCTCAATGATTATTTGACTAAAACCAATGTATGATGTAAACAAAGAAAGAATATGAAAGAATGAATTTGATAAAAGAGTTCTTAAATTCAAAGAATATTCCTTCAAATCAATCGATGTTATAGAACATAATATATTCTCATAAGTAAACTTACCTATATCAATTTGAGTTGATAACGAGACCATATAAACAATTAACGTAGTTGTTTGAAACAAAATTGACATGGTTTATTGAATTTCGTTCTTTTTTCCTGTTATCTGTTTCTATACGATCTCTGTGGACAGTTTAATTACTGGACAGTAAGAAAAAGTCAGAAAACATAATTATTGTTATGATTCAATAAGGGTTTCATACTATGGAATGATTAAAATGTTAGTAATTGAAAGCGTAACTCAATTGAAGCTAGACCACCATGGAAAACCCGGAAGCACTGGACGGCCGTTTCGTATTATTATGGGACTCCTCAACTAACTGAAGACAATTGGTGAATGGTTGCTCAATTTCGTGGATCAGTTGAAGTTAGACATTAACACCGTTGGATGCCGGTCTGCTCAGTGGTCTATCGCTTAAGTGTTCTGGCGCGAGACTGGTAGGTCCTGGGTTCAGATCTCGATCTCAAGACGAGATCGTGGATGCGCACTGCTGAGGAGTCCCATAATAGGACGAAACGGTCATGCAGTGCTTCCAGGTTTTCCATGGTGGTCTAGCTTCAGTTGACTCACGCTTTCAATTATGAAAATACTGAAATATCCACAAAACCCCTTCTGATAATAATAAAATTTTAGTGTCTTTCATTACAATAAATCGATAAACCATTGAAACTGATCGGCAATACTATAGAGATATTTCATTTAGTGTAAAAATACATTTCACAAGATGGTATTGCATTGTATTTAATGAAGACTGAGATGCGTATGAAAATATTCATCAAATGTATCGGAGCCTGTGATTCAAAAGTTGGCATACATTTAGTAGAGCTCAGATTCTTTAGTTAAACTTTTATTTACTTCAGGCGGTTGGAGGCAGTCTACAGGACACTTCTCAAGGGCAAGGTTTTATACTGTCTGTGATTCGTCAGCAAGACGTACTTGTAATCTTAAGGAAAAAGATACCACGCATGGGATAAGAACCCACATTACTCAGTTTTACAGCCTGAGGCGTTATTTGGGTTATGACTGGAAAAACATGACATTGGCCGTTATTTAATGAGCAGTCAATTAAAAATTTGTGATTATTACGCTAAGAGAACTCTGCGTCTAGCTCTTTCAGGGTTACTGCAGGTCCCAAGCCCGTGTGGGGCATAAGGTCAACAACTTCACGTTTTGTATAAAACAACCTTACTAATAACGCTAACCAGAATAAACAACTTAATAATCCACGCAAGATACTCAATGTACATTGGACGGATATCATCAGCAACAGCCATTACATTTGAAGATGGAATTAGGAAAATACGCTGAAAATGGTGTGTGGGACATATATTGAGGAAGTAATAAAATCTCATCACTCAGCAAGCTCTAACATGTAATTCTGAAGGGAAACAGAAAAGAAGATATCCAAGGAACAAATTGCTTCGAGAATCGTAATCATTCAAAGAAGAAATGAATAGCATATGGAAACTGTTGGAATGGAGACCCTATGTGAGTAGAAAGTAGACGAATCGTGATGGACGGCCCATACTCCTACACGAAGGATGTCAGGTGTAATTAAGTAATCGTCAATCAAACTAAAGAGTTCATACAATTATTTTCTTGTCATTATGATATAATAATATGAGACCTAATACAAAACAATCAACCAATCTACTTGTTTTCTAACATAACATTCAATCCTTATTGACAAATGTGTATTCTGAACAGATTGAAATTATGTTACCATCTAATTATACATTTTTGAAGTTGATTAGTGGTTAAGATTGGTAATATGCATACATTTTTCATCATAGCGAGCATCAGAACTAGTTTATTTATTTATTTAAAAACATTAATATTGGTACAAAGGGGTATCAGATACATATGCGCCACACAAATTTCATTGGATTTGGGTGAGGGCTGTGATACTGCCCGGGTGCCGAAACCAAAACAGGTGGTTTTCTTTAGGGGCCACACCCGGAGTCTTTGACCTAAAGATCTAATTCATAAGGAAGTGGAACATTGTGAGGAGATGCAGTCCAATGGTAGCCAGTGACCAATGATTGATTCATACGCCATTTGTTACCTTAGGATACTGGAGCCCATGTGTACCATTGGTTTGGAATCAGGGTTTTCCAACTCAGAGTTGAAGATCCTGTGTTCAAGTTGCTTTTGATGAGGGATCGTGGATGTGCACTACTGACGATTCCCATAATAGGATGGAACGTCCATCCAGAGCTTCCATGTTTTCAATGGTTGTCTAGTTTAGATTGACTCATGAATTCAACTTTAGGAATACTTAATGAATTATTCCTATTACAATCCAATAATGATTTCTAGTTGTTAAAAGATATTATTCCATTAACATTCATTAATTAAGTATATACACATATATAATTCAAATGGAAACTTTTGTCGGTTTAAGTTCATGGGTGACAGGGTAATCTAGTTTATACATATACATTTCCATTTAAAGTTCTATCATAAATTACTACTGATTAAATTATGTGTATACCATTGCTAAATCTATACATTATACATAATAAGTAGTAAAACAACTAATCAAGCAGAAGAGATTAATTAACTAATTAAGTTAATGAGCAAAAGTTACAAAATTATAGTTTCATTGAATAAGATATAAGTAAATACAATTACATTGATTAAGTAATAAAATTTAAAGATACATAAATATGTATCGGTTAAGTGCTTTGGCGCGAGACTGGTAGGTCCCAGGGTTCGAATCTCGCTCGCGAAACGGGATCGTGGAAGCGCACTGCCACTGAGGAGTCCCATAATAGGACGAAACGGCTGTTCAGTGCTTCCAGGTTTTCTATGGTGATCCAGCTTCAATTGACTCATGATTTCAACCATGAAAAATACATAAATATTTACTGAATAATTGAGATCATATTTTTATTCAATGTTTGTAAGATAATCATTATCATCAATTATTCAACCACTGAAGCTTAGGGTAAATACCAGTAAGCCAGGGTACATGCAGTTTAGTACGAAGTCAGGTGCATGCTTCATTATTATCATCAATTGATTAATATTTATTTAATGATCACCTTTTAGTACTATATTCTTTGATACAGAACCTTTTGTTTTCATTTCATATGAGATCGAGCTAAGAATCTTTAGAATTTATTCAGTGTATATGGTTTCCTAAAGAGATCACATAAATATCAGATTTGTATTAATTAATACTAAGTTCTTACTAGTAACAATAACCGTCGATACCTTTTATTTCTTATTACCTGCACTCGTTTTTTGATTGGTTCTTGGTACTGTAGTGTGGTCTACTTATATCCATATAAGTAGTAAATGATGATGGTCTGACATAGAATGTATTTTCGCAGAAGACCGATGAGCAAAGAACTGAAATGAAGCGCAATCGTTTGGAAAATGCATGAGCAATGGAATTAGAGAAGAAACAGTGAAGATTAAGACTATTGGTTGATAATTTACTAATTGACTGTTCATTGTATGGTTATCAGAATTTAGTGAGATAGTCTGTAATTTGTGCTTAAATACATTCGATTGTCTCCAGTTGTGTTCTTGTTTACTACAGTACTTTAGGTCCCTTAATTTTATGTGTTTTTCAGGGCTATGTTTTGTTACTTTTTTTTTAAAATACAAAACTATTGTCAGAATGGGTTTTGTGGAGATTTAGTATTTTCAATTGACTCACGATTTCAACTATGAAAATACAGAACTATTGTCTTGTAGTACGTCTACTTGATTGTTAGGTTTTTTCGTACATTTATCTTCTTTCTGTTTTTCTTCATAATAGCGGATTATTTCTAAATTACTGTTAGGCAATCGTCATTTTATCGAGTCCGCCATATAAATCCTCTCTTATTAGAATAAGCTTAGCCGTTCTGCAATTAGCAGTTACAGTAGGCTTGTAGTGAACCTCAGTCACAAGACATAACATAATTATTTAATCACAAAACACTATTCTACAATTTTTTTGTGGCTTTCATCAACTGGCAAGATCATATACGTACGCTAGCTGCTTACTAGGTAATAATCAATGCAACAATCTTCTGATCAGTTAGTTGAGAATAAATTCTATTGACTGAGGTGAAATTCAGTTACTAGTCTAAATAACATGATATCAAGTGCATTGTGTAAGAGAGTTCGTGATAGTTAACAAGAGACCCTACATGACCGATGATTAATCTTACTTGCCATCTGGAATTCTAAGAAAACTGATATTCTATGAGAGATTCAAAACAATGCAAATTATTATTATTATTATTATTATTATTATTATAATTATTATTAATGGCTTTATTCAATATTATAATCTGGTACAACATAGAATTCTCAGCACGAGTTATTTCAATGTATTTAAATGTAATTACGTCTCGTTCTACCAAAAGATATACAAAGGAGAAAGATATGAATGAAGCGGATGGTTAGTATCTGATCAGATAACACCTGCCAAGAGTTTGCAAGACTTAAGATGTCTATCCTTAAGCATATTAATAATGACTTCACAAGATTCACCACATACCTTTCAAACCACCTTCAGCACTCTACGCAAAACAGCAAAGTCTTTTCTCAAAAGCCCAGGAAAGAATAATGGAGAACAATATAGAATAATAGGTAATATGCAGGAATTTACAAATTGTAAGAGTAAATGGCGAGTAATCCCAAAAGCATGCAGCCTTTTTATGTAGTATGTCAAACGGTAAACTTTTTTCGATAACAATAAAACATGAGAAGACCAAGAAAGATCAGAGGAAAAAGTAACACCAAGATATTTGACCTTCGACACTGTGTTTATTAAGGAGTCTCCAATGGCACAAGCATTATGGGATTCCAACATAGAGTGTAGGTTCTGTCCATGTCTCAAGCTAAAATTAACAGCTTGACATTTAGATGGAATGAGTAAGAGACCATTACCAACAGACCACCTTTCAATACGAGACAAAGACTCAATTATTCCTATAGGATGTAAGGAGGTAGAAATCGGCATACATACAGTGAGGTCGTCCGCATATTTTACAAAAGTGTTTTCTGTGGAAGATGGTAGATCATGCAGAAAAAAAGAGAAGAGAAGGTGAAAGAACAGCTCTTTGTGGCACACCTGCAGTAGACAGTAGAGATGTTGAACACTTTCCTTCAAATACAGTATACTGTTCTGTTCCAG